GCTAATGAGCTTACCATCAAAAGGGGTGACTAGAAAAGAAGCTATACATCCAGCAGAACAACCCGAGATAAAGGAATGATAAAATACAGCCTGATCACTGCCATCTCGACGTTTGCCCTGAAATAAAAAATCGGCTCTATATAGTTTTGGTGAAAAAAGAATCATACATTAGAAAAACATTACTTAAGACAGTTGGTTAATTTATTTTCTTTTAAAAACTTAAATGTTTAAATTATAACATGTAAGATCATTTTATTGTATCTGTCACCCAAAAAGTCTTTACTCCCCCTTCCCACATTTCTCTTAAAATCTAAACATTAATTAAAGACATTTTATTCCAAGTGTCTAGGCCCCAATTTCAAATCGCCTACAAACAATAGCAAAATGGAAAATCCTAAATAACAAATCTGACATCTTGATGTTTAGACAGTATCAAATATCTATGAGGATAAAATAAAATAGTATGGGCGCACCAGTTTGTTGAGATTAGCAAATAATGGAAAGTAGATGGCAGAAAAAGTGACATCCCTAAGAGCTGTTGCCCCACAACCTTGATAGAGACCCAGAATGCCCCTTGTGTGCAAAAGATCTAATGTAATTTTGGTTGCTGAAAGACGCTGCTGCTTCAGAACTGCTGCTGCTCCACCTTTGCCTCCCTCAGCTGTTAGGTCAACACTAGCTGCAAAGAAAGAATTAAAGAGTAAAGTACACTGTCATTGACAAAAGTGATATAATTTAAAAAGGACTGAACTATGCATGAACATGATAATATCTCACTATCTTTTTGAATAATAAACATAAACATCTTATTTCTTCCTACCACTTCTGCCAGCATCTTGTAGCTGGATCTTGATCAGTTCCATTGGTGTAGTTATGACAATCTGGCACATACCAGCACTGGCTCCTGCCAGGATTTCTCTGGCCAGTGTCAAGGTCCCTCTGATAAAATAGCAACATAATTTGTAGACCATAAAAAAAGGTATACATAAATAGCTGACAACTGATTAAAAACTCTTGTTGATTTGAAATATTTGTCTTTACTTTATTTATTGGTTTAATGTAGAAATAATAACAAAAATATTTACATAAAAATAGTTTGAGATTTAAGAAACTTTTAACAGTAACTTCATACCATTGCTTTCCTTTTGTTTTACATTATAATGTATCTACAGCTGAAAGGACAAACCAAAGCTGCTTGGTAACAGAAATGTAAAGGGTGACTTACTCAGCAGTCTGTAAATGATACCTGAAGAAATCATTCCCCACAAGTTTGATGACTTTCTCTGGAGTAATTAGGAGTAGGTTCACCCCACTTCCTGGAATGTAGCATTCATTTCATGACACGATTAAGAACTAGACATTTAAAACTTTAGAAGTAATTTTAAAACAATTGAACAATGACTGAGGCCTTCGACAAACAAAACAAATTAAAGATTACAATTAGGTATATACCAGACCTGTTTACCCTCAAACTCTTAAAATCGTACAATATCATCACAAAATCGTTTACTACGTTATACTTATAGTAAAAAATAAATATTCAGTATATACAACATTCAGTATATACAATCTATACACCTCAAAATCGTACATTGTACGCTAAATTCATAAGAGTGAACAGGTCTGATATACTGATTATAGAAAGAATTACAAATCACTTACCTCTGTACATGCCAAAGAAGCCTTCATTACGAAATGTTTTAATGGCACAATCAGGTCTGAAATCAACAGAATGACACATACTTAATGTGCATATGACTGTATAAATCAGGAAAGCATTTGACGGTTAAAATATTTAATGGTAACATGATTGGAGTATTTAAAGAAAAAAATTGTTATAGCTGCATTACAATGTATGTGAACATTGAAACAAAAATAACAACACTATAACTTTTATAACATACACATTTTAAAATG